TATTACTGAAAACAATCACTTTCCCAGAAGCTACAATTACCGGAGTTAAGAGCATAAAGAACAAGTACAGAATGCACAAAAGTATAATTAAAGAAAATTGCACAGAGGTGGCCAAACAGTGAGTTTGCCAAAGCCTATGAACCCGGGACTTCAGGGAGTTACTTCCTTGGCCCTCGGGGTCCATGGCCCGTAAGTCTGAGGACGGCTCAAAGACTGGATTTTCGTCCATGTTATCCTTGTGCCTCAACTTCTCAGTGCTGGTTATGTATGCAGTGGTTGCCAGCAAAGAGCAAAGATGTCAGCTTGAGAACTAAAGTGCGCCTGATCAAGCCATGGTATTTTCAGTAACCTCATATGGATGCAAAAGCTGGTCAGTGAATAAGGAAGATCGTAGAAGAATTGATGTCTTTGAATTGTGGTGTTGGAGGAGAATACTAAAAGTGCCATGGGCGGCTAAAAGAACCAATAGATCTATTTTGGAAGAAGTGCAGTCAGAGTGCTCCTTAGAGGCCAAGATGGCCAAACTTTGTCGTACCTCGGAATTGCATTAGGCAAATCTGCTGCACAAGACTTTTTTTTTTTTGCACAAGACATTTTTAAACTGTTGAAGGACAAAGATGTCAGTTTGAGGACTAAAGTGTGCTTGACCCAACCCACATTATTTTGAATGGCCTCTTTGCTTTTGTTGTTAAGCAATGTCGAGTCTGTTCTGACTCATAGTGACCCTGTATAGAGTTTTTGAGGAGCGACTGGTAAGCTTGAACTGCTAACCTTGCAGTTAAATCACAGCACCACACCAGGACTCTTCAGTAGCCTCATATGCATGCTAAATTTGGTCAGTGAATAAGGAAGACCATAGAAGAATTGATGCATTTGAGTTATGATGTTAAAGGAGAATTCTGAAGGTACCATGAACTACCAGGAGATGACACAGATTTGTGTTGGAAGAAATAACAACAAGAATGCTTCTTAGAAACCAAGATGACAAGACTAGGTCTCTTATATTTGGGACATTTTATCAGAATGGACCAGTCCTTGGAGAAGGACATCATGCTTGGTAAAGTGGTGTGTCAGAAAAAAAGATGGAGACCCCCAACAATACGATTGTCCCAGTGGCATCAGCAGTGGGTCTCAATCATAGCAACAATTGTGAGAATGGCACAGAATTAGCTGTGCTTGATTTTGTTATACATAGGATAACTATGGGTCAGAAAAGACTCAATGGCACTTAACAAAATAACAACACTAATCATTTAGAGATGGCACAAATAAGTCATCCTTCTCTTCTCCGAAGACTACCTCTGCCCATCCTTATTTCCCCCTTTATTACTCTTCTCATTCCCTTTCTTTACCCATATAATAATAATTTCACATATTGCTGGAAAAAAGTTTTTTTTTTTAAGTTTTTATTGTGAATTGAGTGATCGTTTACATGGGAGAACATCGGTTCTACACTCATCATTTCATTGCAATGATTACAGTCACCTCCGTGTATCATCATTCCATGTAGCATCATTTGCTTGTATTCCCTCTGTTTTTGTTTTGCTTTTTGGGATGTACACAAAATAATATATTTTTGTAATAGTATTATCATTAGCTTCTAAACCTTGTAAGGTCTTTTTGCAAAGATAATTTGGTATTGTTAACTAAATATTTATTATAATTGTAGTGTCTTAAAGACTTTTCTACATGATCCTCTTGTGGAGTGGAGTAAACCAGTGAAAGGGAACTCCAAAGCACCACTTAACGAAACCGGGGAAGTTGTCAATGAAAAGGTTAGTAGAAGGTGTAGCATGATTTGATATAAGTTGATATTGTAGATCTCTACAGATAAGGATTTTAAATTCTCTTATTGACTAGCCCGTGAATACCCTGAAATCTCGTTTTCTATTATGACAGTGCCTAAAAATTTCCTGTCAATACTATTAACATTATTATAATTTATTTAAAATAAAATAGAATTCAAGGTACACTTGTTTAACCTTAGACAATTTAAAACCATGGGGAAACTTGCCTGAATTTACAGAGCAAATCTCAGCTTTTATATGGTGACATCAATATGCCACAATTCATCTTAATATATCTAGCAGTTCCTTCTTACTAATATTACTCAAAATCTCAAGTTTGCAGTAGTTTTTGATAAAATAGATTGAAGATAATTTTTCTAATGTCACTCACTTTTATAGTCTGATAAACTTCCTTGATTAAAAGAGAAATGTGTAGAATTTCAAATACTTCACTTAGAACTGCCATTTGCATGAACTAACAAATATTAGACATTAGAATATCATTGCTATTATTAGAATACCCATTGAAAGTTTAAGTTTTACACACTTTCAAAGCATGTTTTTAAAATTATTTTTCTATGATTGTAATGTGCAAGGAATTTCCTGATAATTCACATAGTCCAGAAAAATGTCTACGCATTTGATGTTGGATTAACATTGCCAACCTTGAAATCTATCAAATTATTTTATTTATTTAATTTCTTTCTTTTTCTATATTTTCTCTAACAAAAGGAGCAATGATCAGTAAAATAGTATTAGCATTTCTTACAAAGCATGAACATTAGTAATTCTAAATCATCAACAGTCACATGTTATTGGTTCTTAGCTCTTATCATTTTCTATATCTTCTTTCTAGGCCAAGACCCATGTCCTTGATATTGAGCAGCGATTACAAGGTGTAATCAAGACCCGAAACAGAGTGACCGGGCTGCCATTATCTATTGAAGGACATGTGCATTACCTTATACAAGAAGCTACTGATGAAAACTTACTATGCCAGATGTACCTTGGCTGGACTCCTTATATGTGAAATGAAATATGTCAGTTATTTAAAATGATTGCTTTTGGCATTAATCTATTGTTGTATCTATTCGTTTCCAAAGTACAGCATAAGTTTATGTACTTAAAGCAACTCGAATTATTTTCCTTGGTGGTTAAATATTTAAAATAATATATGTTGTTATTAAATAAACTGCTTTCTGACTACATGAGGTGTATTGTAACTGGAGAAATGGAACATCATTTGAAACAGGCCAGCCTAATTTTATTTCACCATTTTTATTGATTTCCTTTTAGAAGTACTAGTTAAAAGTACTAGTGTGGCACTGTAGGGTAAGTACTGGACCACAGGTTGGTTTGAACTGAGAGGTCTGCGTTTCAGTCACCAGACCTCCTTGGAAACTCTAGACAGGGTTGCTATGAGTAGGAACTCACTGGAGAGCACTTAACAAGTTAACATAAGGATTCATTTGAACAACAAAAAGTTTACCTCAAATAATTATTGTGGACAAAACTGTGTGCTAAATTGGTGCACAGACATTTAACAGTCTTGTAAGAGAGGAAAATATAAATGGCACATTATTAAGTTCACTTAATAGATAATCTTTCTTTGCTATGATTGAAAATATGATAGGGAAAAAAACATGACAAGAACCTTGAATGAAACTAACACTTCAATTTTAAAGAGGCTGTATACTGACAGCGTAACAAAGCAGAACCCAAAAGTTATAGAAGACTGTAATACTTAGAATTTAAAGAGATTTTTAAAAATCTGACATTTTAAAATGTGATTAGGTTTGTAAGTTTTTTTTGGAAAATTTAAAAAGAATTCATAATTACAAACCAATTTGAGAACTACATTGAAATAAATGATAAACTTAGATCATAGATAATTTCATATAAATTCACTTGGTATAATTCTGCTTTTTTTGTACTATTGAAAGTGTAATAGGGGAAAAAGTCCATCCGTGACACACCAAGAGAAGCATGAATGTGAAAACATTCTATAATTTTCTATCGAAGGCCTAGCTAGGAACCTTTTCAGAAAAACCACTTGGAAAAAAAAATTAACAATTTTTTTTTATAAGTTTGCATAGTTAAAATAATTATCCTTTTCCAAGCAAAACAAACTAAACCCAATAAATCCCCAGATTTTTCCAAAGCCGCGTTGGAAAATACTGAAATTAGCAATCCCAGTAGCCGAAAGCAGCCCAGGCAAAAATCATTGTTCAATACACTTCTAGCTGTCTTGTGAGGTTTTCATAACGTTTGCAAATTCACTACGAGCATAGTTTAAAACTGGCATTTTCAGAACTGAGTTTAGCATACACGAAAGTTGCTGGGCGCGCTTAAACGTAACCACAATCGAGCACAGCAGGGGCGAATAAAGTCTGATGCGGCCTCGGATCCTGCCGCTCTAGGGCCCGACGGGTGCTCTCTATGGTCGGGCGGGCGGTGTGTTGTCATCGGCGGAGCGACGGCCAGAGGTGGCGGCGTAGGCCCCGGCGGGGCGTTTGGTTTCTGTTTGGCCCTGACTGGAATTGGTGTTGACGGTCGAAATGGGAGTCCCCAAGTTTTACCGATGGATCTCGGAACGGTATCCCTGCCTCAGCGAAGTGGTGAAAGAGCATCAGGTGGGTGAACGAGGCGCAGTGGTTCAGAAGGTCGGTGCCCGCTGGGTCTCTGCGGGCCTCCCTCTACTTGAAACGGAAGCTTTCCAGCCTCTTTCAGCCCGCCGTCTGCGGACAAGTGGCAAGGGTGGCGGAGATGAAAGGCTTGAGTATGCTCGGCTGATCTGAGTCGGGGTAGAGACTAGTTGTATTTCTTGGAAAGAGCCGCGGGGTTTACAGTAGTTCTGACAGCTCCGCTGGCCAGGCGGGGCCTTCCGCGACTCCGAAATGAAGTTCTAGGAAGGAACGCTTTGAGCGAGTTCTTACCCCCCTC